GGTGGTGAGGAGAATATTAAAAATATGAGCTGCCATGTAAAGGGCCTCAACCTAGAAGTTAGGTGGCAGTTGGGCTTGGAGTAGAAGGGAACGGACGGTGTTGTTTATGGTTCGTATAGTGCGTTTCAGCCCGTCCATTTTGTTGGCTCGTGTGAGGACAAGAGAAACGAAAAAGAATGCCTAAAGAGTCAAAAATATTTTTCAAAGGTGAATTTCAGTATTCTGTTCCATTGTCACATTGTACAGCTTTGATTGTTGTGTTAAAATGATTTTTTACATAAGCGACAAACGAAGTTAAATGACTAAACGCATCACTTTTGTGTTTTAAAGGAAAAACCCATAAATAATGAGAGAAGTCATCTCGCAAGAGCATGTAAAATTTAAAACCAGTAATACTTGGAACAAGAGATTGCCATAAATCAGTATGTAAAAGTTGAAATGGATACATTGAAATACGACTGGAAGAGTAAAAAGGGAGGCACACATGCTTTCCCAATTGACACGCATGACATAAAGTATGTTGATAACTTTTAAAAAACGGAATAGAGGAGACGCCACGGAGAACGACCTGGCTGGGATGACCTAGACGCCGATGCCAAGTCTGAAGATCGACAGCGGCGACATGGGCTTGGGCAGGTGCAGTTCAGCCAAGGGGGTAGAGGGGTCCCATATCATTGGATCGATGCATCACGGTTCCCGTCCGATGATCCTTCACAGAAAAAACCATGAGCATCAAATTCAACAGTACAGTTATTATCACGGGTAAGTTGGCGAACAGAAATAAGGTTGTGGGTTATGTGAGGGGAAATGAGGATGTTGTTAAGGGAAAGGGCAGGGGTAGTGGGAATAGTGTGATTACTAACAGCCGTAGTGCTAACTTTAGATCCATTACCAACAGTGATATATAATGGTGAATATAAAGATTGAGAAGAGACATGAGAAAGAGTACTTGGGTCGGAAGGCGATGTGATGAGAAGCACCGATGTCCAAGTACCAAGTGGGCTCACGAAGGGATAGGGTGTCAAAATTGTGGGCTAGGGCAGTAGGGGTGAGGGTATGGGCTTGCGGGTATGGTGGGGATGGGGGGTACTGCCCTGCGGCAGTTGGGTGGGGATACGGCACTGGGGGGGTGGGTAGGGTTGCGGGTTTGGGGAGGGTAAGGGGTAGGGTTGGTGAGTGGTGGTGGTGTAATAGGCGTGGGGAGGGGGGTACGGGTAGGGTGTGGGTCGGGGGCCTAGAAGGCCAGGGTTAGGGTTTGGGTGAGGTGAGTTCCAAGTGGTATTGCCGTCATGGGTTTGTCATTGCCGGGAGCCGTTTTGACGTCCACGTCCACGATATCCCCCGCCACGTCCTTGCCCTCGTCCAGAGCCACCGCGCTGTCCCGAGTTGCCATCACCGTAGCTGCTGCCGCCGTGCTGTCCACCATAGCCGCTGCCGCTGTTTGTCTCGCCATGGAGGTGACCGCCGGCTCGGGTGGTGAGCAAGGCCGTGCTACGGGGGTCAACAGGAGTTGACCACTGACGGTCCAAGAGCATGAGAGCCGATCGAACCTGAAGAAAATTCGGCATAGGATCCTGAAACTGCATGAACGAGGTCTGGCTCTGAAGATCTGCGGGAAGCCCTCAGAGCATCTGAAGAACAAGTTGGTGTTGAGAGACCGGTGCATCAACGTCATCCAACCAATCGGCAAGATTTTGGAGTCGTTGATAATAGGCCGCCATGGAGGTGGAGCCCTTGACGGTGGTACGGAATTCATGCTCCAACTGCATGGCTCGAGCATGTTTGTTATCATGAAAGAGGTCGTGAATGACCTTCCAGAGAGCTGAGGCGGTGGTGAGAGAAGAGATTACCAGATCTGAGACTTCATCGGTGATGGTGGAGAGAATCCAGCCTTGGAGAAGAGCATCGAGTTGGCACCATTCGTCGTCGTCGTCGGAGAGGGGACGACGGATCCATCGAGGTATCCTAGAAGTTGGAAACGCCAAACAAGGAGAAGATAAAAACTACTCCATTTTTTGTAGTTCGGTTGAGAAAGACTGAGTTGGACAGGAACATGCAACTTGACATTAGAGATGGTTGTGAGAGCAAGATGCGGGGTTTTGGAGGGCGTAGTTAGGGAAGTGACTTCACTATTTTCGGCCATGGTGAAAGAGGAGGGAGAGGACCGCCGGGAGAGAGGAGAGATCACCGGTGGAGGGCCGCCGAGGAGAGGGGCGGCGCTGGCAATGAAGGGCCGAACGAGAGAGAGAGAGAAACGTGAGATTAGGGTTTAGGGTTTTTAGGCTCCGATACCATGTAGAAAAGATATATTCATTGAATAATTGTGAAGAGAATACATCAATATATAGTAGAGGCTTCAATCCTAATCATAGTAGGAGAGCCATATTAGGAAACCTATACAAGTATGGTAACACAATAATTACAAGAATAATAAATATAATTAATATATTTAGCAATAATAATATTATTATTATTACAAGAAATTAACAAAAATAAGAGTAAACCACAACTCTTATCTTCAAAATAGGAGTGACATGTTTTTATTTTGAAAATAAATGTTTGTATTGTGAAAATATGTAACTCCTATTTTGATAATTTCTTAATATATGTTTTACTCTTAGTTTAATTTTTTTATCATAAATATAAGCATTAAAAAACTAGAAATATTATATTTGTAAGAATATAATAATATGATGATATTTTTCATGATAATAATAATTATTATTATTATTTCATGAAAGAATATTTACATGATACAGATTATAGTTTTCCTGAATAATAAAATTTCTAACTTAACGAAATAATATTATTTCTAATATTCATGAAATATAATATCATGATTATTAGCAGATTTATAAATCTAGAAAATTTAAATTATACTCGTATTTCATCAAAGTCTAATTCTAATTAGATTTTAGTTTTCTAATGCAATAAACATTTAAATGAGTAAAAGGGTAATGTGGTCACTTTGATCAAAGATGGAGCGCAGATAGGAAATTTGGAGCGCCAATATCAGCTCCCATTTCATAACAATCTTATCCCCAAAAATTTGCCTTCTTTCGAAAAATGTTTCAAATATATTCAAAGAATATGTGGAATGCCCTTGCTGAGATTGACAATAATCGCACCACTTGAATGCTTACGTTACGAGCTGCTCGTATCTATAAATATGTTTTTCAAAATTTATAATGTTATGAATCCATATTTTGTATCATTGTATACTTCCCTTTCATTAATATTTGATTATATATCATTATGTTAATTTAATTTTAGGAAAATGCTAGGGATATACCAAAAGTGTACCCCATTTGTCCCCCACCCCCTCCATTACCACTTAAATAGGCAAGAAATTTAAAAAAAATTAAGTAAATAAAAATAAAAAATAAATGGTGTACAAATGGGGTACACCTTTTGGTGTACCCCTAGCATCTCCCTTAATTTTATTATATCCTTCCTCAATACTCCCCCGTCCCAATTTATTTGCAACACTTGGAACGACGTGCAAAATATCATCTTTTTTAAAATCACTTTAATTTTAAATTGGTAGAGTAATAAAAAATAAAAATTACACCATTTAAAAGTATATGAAAAGTTCTACAAAATAAGATGCGACAAGAATATTTTATTTTATTAAATATTCAACCAAAACGAATAAACAAATAAAAATTATCGAGAGACTAAAATAGTAAAAGTGACATTCTTTCTGGGACCGGAAGGACTACTTTTTTTTTTATAAAAAAACGGAAAGGAGTCTTGTTCTAATTTTAATTTATACGGAGTAATTTGCTTCTAGTAGGACTAATTTTATTTAGGGCGCATAAAACCCTAGATAGACGTTGAGTTGTTGACCTTCTAAACCCCTCTAACGCTCCACCAAGTCTTGTTCTTCCTCCGACGAGATGAACTCGCTCTCTGAACTGAACGATGATATTGTTCGTAGCATGACAGTTGGAGCCGTCTTCTCTGATTTTGTGAGTACAATGCATTGACCTTACGTCTTTTTTCATCATCGTAGAATTTCACTACTCTTCAGATTATTACATCGTCAGAGTTTGAAGTTTGCTTCGTAGTCATATACAGTGATGCTTACCCTTTTTTTCTCTGCTAAAATTAAAAAATTTAGACTTTTTGGGCTCAAATTTCATCTCTTTTGTTCAGGGTGGAAAGATAAACTCGCTCGATTTTCATCGGACTGCTGATCTTTTGATAACTGCAAGTGATGATGATTCTGTTAGACTTTTTGACATTGCAAGTGCTCAGTAAGTTGATCCTTTGAAAGGATGCCCCCACACAATTGAAATTTACTTCTAATCGGACTCATTTTGTTAAATTAGCTGAAAAGGCAACTAAAACTGCAAAGGTACTGGAAATTGTAAATTAGCTGGCAACTGGGAAGGTTACTAAAAAGTGTGAAAGCTTATAACTTCTTAGATTAGCTACTAAAAAAAACTTTTTAGATTTACATTGACGCTCCGTTTGGTACACCGTACATGGAATTCAAACTATGGAATTTGAATTGGGGACAATTCCAATTCTGCTGTTTGATAGCACAAAAATATGTGAATTTGGAATTGGTAGTGCCAAAAAAAATTAGAATTGAAGATTTAATTCCATCCAAATCAATTTTATAGAATTTCAACTTTCAATTCAATTCTGTCAATTTCGTGTACCAAACGAACCTTGATTGCTAAAAGCAACTGGAATTGAATAAAATGGCATAAATAAAAAGATTTGAAGGGTGGAAGTAATGGGAAAGAGACTAGGAAAAGGATTGGAGAAATATATTAAAAAAAAGTTACTCTTACCATCTTTTCATTTTGGCCATCTAATAGGGTGCCTTATATTCCTTGCAACACACCAACACCCATCTGCGATAAGGTTCTTGAAATTTTGGCTTGACAAACATAGCCTTGATGAATTGCTTCTAAAGGGACATCAATTTTCAGGCTGTTGAAGACCACATATCATAAGCAGCATGGTGCTGATCGAGTATGCTTCACCCATCACCCCAGTTCTGTTATATGCTCTTCACGTCACAATTTGGCTTCCCATGGAGGTATTCATTTTAGAAGTTAACTTTTAATCATAAGTTTACTAAGATGATTCCTGACATATGCTTCTACCACTTTGCTGCTCAGTATCTTTGCAGTACCTTTCAATGTATGATAATAGATGCCTTCGCTATTTTTATGGGCATAAAGAGAGGTAGGTTGCTCTATTCACGACTAGACGTGCACTCTCCATACTATCTCTGTTACACTTTTTGTTTTAGGGAGTGAAGCATTCCCATTTCAAATTTTTTCTGAAATCTTGAAATTGATAGAATTGATATATTGTCATGTTCAATATCACTCATCTTCCAATTAGAAAGAAAAGATGAGCTAATTCATAAGTGTATTCTCAATAGTATCACGTTTTAATGAAAAAAAATAATCACATATTGCATTACTCCCTCCATCTCGTAAAGAAGTTTCACCCCACAGTCCATGGAATTCATGAAAAAAGTTAAAAAGTGGTTGGTTGGAATTTGTTTAGAATAGAGAGAACTAATTTGGGCAATGTAGTCCTTATCTAAAATGGAAGTGAGCGAAGTGTGAACTTGGTGTTGGGATAGCCTGAAATTGACTGTAAATTTGTCTAGAGGTTTGATGGAGTATTTCTTTTCCGGGTTACTTGTTTGTAGCTTGCATATGTGTTGATATGCTAATAGATTTTCAATTGTATATAGGGTTGTGTCATTGTGCATGTCTCCCATGAATGATAGCTTCATGTCAGGTTCTCTTGATCACAGTGTGCGAATATGGGATCTTCGTGTAAATGCATGCCAGGTTTGTTTGATTTTTTAATACTCCGTATTTCATTTATTTCAAACATAATACTCCGTATATCTGTATTTTAACTTGTTGAACAACAGTAGACAGTGATGGCCTTTAGCTCATTATCATGCTTATTCTACAACAAAAACTTGGAAAAAATTCTAATATATACATTACTGCAAAAAGGAATTAAGTAATACACGCGTGCTGATCGAAGTGTAAAGTCATGCCAAAATCTGCTTGTGCTTTGCACATAATGACATGCTAAACATGACTTTATTAGGAATATATATATGTTGTCATGTAGCAAAAGACTTGCTTTATTTGAAGCCAAGCTAAAACTGACTTTGATAAACACCATATCGCACCTAAGAAATGGAAGAACATAAACAACATCAAGTGAGGGCTGTGAGGCTAATAGTTTATCAAACTACAAATCCATTCTGTTAAGGGAGAAAATGCTGAGAAGGGATTCATTGATAAAAAATTATACATTATGTGACACCTAGTATATCCAAGTACATATAGCAACTATCATCGACATCTTGTCTGCCGCAGCCTTAAGCATTGTAGCCCATGTTTTTGGTATTGGGCCTGAATATAATACCTAGATTGATAGAATGCTTATTATTGTAGTTTTCAGGGGATAATGCATCTACGAGGCAGACCAACTGTTGCATATGATCATCAAGGTCTTGTATTTGCAGTAGCAATGGAAGGTGGCGCCATTAAATTGTTTGATGCTAGATCATATGACAAGGTTTGTGTCTGCCATTGTCTTTTCTTAACAGCTATTGATTTCTTGAGAAGTGATCATCCCATCTCATTATAGGGTCCCTTTGATACGTTCCTTGTTGGTGGAGATACTGCTGAAGTTTGTGATATAAAATTCAGCAATGATGGTAAATCGATGCTTTTGACAACTACAAGCAATAGTATATATATCCTAGATGCTTATTGTGGAGAGAAGGTTAGATTTTTCCTTGGAGATTTGTACTTGCTTGTTAATGTTACTTTTATCCTTGCTGTCTAAATTTATATAGATCAAAGTTCTTTTTCTGTGTAGAGATGTGGGCTTAGTCTAGAACACTCCCCAAACACAACGATCGAGGCAACATTTACTCCTGATGGACAATACATTTTGTCAGGTATTTCATTTGATTTGCCTTTAGATTAGAGAATGCACATCAAATCTTATGACAACCTATCTTTCTATTTATTGTTGCAATTTGTTGAATTTTACATTCTGATGTTTGTTGTATCTGAAATTCGTAAATAAACAAAAGATTAAATAAAACAATGTGTATTGATGTATTAGTGTACCATATTTGTGTACCATATCATAATTCCATAATTCAAGGTTTTATGTCGTCTGATTCTTATTGCTCTCTGTTAAGTGTGTGTGTCTATATATTTATATATGTATGTATGTATGTATGTGTGTGTGTGTGTGTGTGTGTATATATATAAGTCAACAACAACCCAGTTGAATCCCACAAGAGTACGGTCTAGGGAGGGTGTGTGTACGCAGACCCTACACCTACTTGAAACTCAAAAGTAGAGAGGTTGTTTCCAAAGAGACCTCTGCTCAGCGTTGAAAGTTGTATTGATTGACTTAGTACTACTTCATTAATAAAAGAAGCGCACACAATTTAGAGATCAATTTTGCTTTATTCCATCACACCCCAAAGCCTAAAAATAGTAGGTTTTTGGCCCCATCAAAGATGATGGAAACACACACACACACACAACCTCCGTCCCAGTATATTAAAGTCAAACTGGATGAACTTTGGACCACAATTAGATAAAAACTATAATGTATATTAGTATAAAAATGATTTCATTAGATTTATCTTATTGATAATATATAAAATTTGAGAGTAATTCATGATTAAAGTTTGTCAAGTTTGATTCAAAAAAGTCAAATTGGATGTATACATTAGGACGGAAGGAGTATATAGGTAGGTAGCTTCTTAACCCGCCATGAACTCCAAAAAAATAAAAATATACAAGAAAAAGAATTTTACACTATAATTTCTATCATAAAGTAATGTATATCCCATAATATGTACCCATAATATATTTAATGATGATTTCCTTTAACAAACTCAGTTTAACCATCAATATTAGACTATTAGTGAATTTGTATTGTACTTATTGCTGTTTTGATACATTTGTGAGATTTATAATGTACTTATTGTTGAGTAATATTTGTGATTTTATATTGTACATATTGTTTGACTAACATTATTGAGATTTATATTGTACATATTGTTGAGTACGGAAGAGTTGAGTTTAACAAGAGGGTCATGAATAAGGGCTATATCATACTTGTAGTATAAGTTTTACCAAAGAAAATGCAATCAACATTTGTGTGCTCCAAATTCGTCAATCATTTTGAATATTGTTGTGGTTAGATGTAATGATCTTGTGTCTTCCAAAATCGTCAATCATTTTGAATACGTTTGAATATGGGAAGAGCCTGGTGAGCCCGAAGGAATGCTCAAAATTTCCATCCAAATTTATGTGTTTTGGAAGTCGCAAAATTTATATAGGGGTAACAGTATTTTGTTGAAAATTCAGAAAATGTCAAGATGTATAGAAAAAAAGTGATTTGTTTTGAATTTTTTTTAAAAAAGAACTACCAAAATAAGATTTATAATGCCAATGTATGTCATTATATAATGCCAACAAACAATGTAAATTGCCAATATACAATGCCAAATGGTGGCATTGCACAGTGCCAACGATCCGAATTAGGGATAAAAACATAGGACATCCTATATTGGTACAAATTTAATAATTTAGTCTTAATTACATAGATTTCTTTATTAAAAATGTCAGATATTTTTTTTTTGAAGGAATCTGTGATGATATTTCTAATCTCATTGTTTTTTCAAACAAACAAAAAAACTTACAAGATGTAGTTTTGTTTTATCAAAAGTTTTCCGACCAACATTTCCGCAGTTCAGAGCATCCATATTTTTATTACTGATGGTTATATGTGATATAGGCTCCGGGGATGGCAACTTGCATGCTTGGAACATCAATAAACTAAACAAGGTAAACTTTTCTCCATGCTTTGATGGCAAACCGGCACAAGAAGGCATTGAAAATCCTAATATGGTTCCACTATAGAACTATTTGTGTTGCATATACATATCCTGACTTATTGTATTTGTATGGCATTTGGCTGTGACACATTTGCCCTTAGGTGGCTTCCTGGGATAGCCATGTAGGCGTTGCATCATGCGTGAAATGGGCACCAAGAAGGGTGATGTTTGCAGCTGCATCGTCCGTTCTTACCTTTTGGATACCCGACCATTCCAGGCCACCCGTTGAGCCCGTCCTGCCTCTAACATAACGTATTCACATATCTGCTGATGCTAAGCATTTTTAGTTTTCCTTTTTTACCCAGAAGAAAATGCATAATTTACAGTATATTTGATGATTTTGAAATGTAAATGCAAATATCATTGGATGCAACCTCATTCCCAAATTAGTTGTCTATCTTTTTTTTTCTTTTTGGAGAATAAATTTGCACTTATTCACTTGCTCTCCAAGCGACATAAGGTGTCAAAAAACAAGTCTAGGAATGTAGGCACTGGTGCATTCCAAATAAGTTGAGTATCTAAACTTTAGTTGAAAACATTTTTAAATACAGATATTGTTTAGGGATTTTTTTTGGGAGTTCAAACTTATACGGAGTAGTTGAGATTATTATAAAACAAATAGTTCACATTATTTAAAGCACAAATATAATGTGATAGTGCTTCAACTTACATGTCGTAGCATGAAGGAATTATTAGGGGAACTTGTTAATGATTAAAAAAATGTGTTTCAGTCTCTCAAAAGGCCTACGAACATGAATTTAAGTATGCATATGGGTTCTAAAAATTAAATAGTTTTATTTACTCAAAAATAGCTCTAAACATTACACACACACATATATATGGATTGACTCAAGTGAAATAATACCTTACAGTCAGATGACATGTTTTGGTGAGATTATGTCAAGCTCACCACACTATATTAAAAAGCTTACCAATGGAAAATGCAAAGCTCACCTAGAAATGAAGCAAAGCTTACCAATTTGAATACCAAAACTGATCTTTTTTTTAAAAAAAATTTGAAAATAAAAAAATTAATTAAAAATAAAATAATAACACCGGTCAATCACCGGTCAGCAGCGGCGGCAGGCAGTGGGCGGCGACCGGCGGCAGCCGGTGGCGGCGCAGTGGCTGTGTTGCGGCGGCGAACGGTGGTCAAAGGTGGCGGTCAACGGTCAAAATCTAGTCAGCACCTCTTCCTTTGATTTTATTTTTTTCCAAAAAAATTCTTAAGTGTTGAAAAAATATGGTGAGTTTTGCCTTACATTTTGGTAAACTTTGTAGTTGCTGTGGCTAGTGGTAAGATTTGCGTCATCTAACCGTAGCATGTCATCTCACCGTAAGATGTCATATTACTGGAGTCAATCCTATATGTGTGTGTGTATATGCAAAAAGATGTTTTAAAAATTACACCATTTGTTTTATTTTTGAAAACCTGCATGTTATAATGTACAATAAAAATGAAGCAAAAAAAAAGTGTCATGAAAAGGAGCAGACATTTCACTTATTGAAAATGATACATACATACATATGGATAAGTGTGGGTTTGAGTGGGATAATCTGTCACAAATCTCATATCATACTAACTTTTCCCAAGTGAACTTTTGGTCACCTAATAAGCCAACCTTCTATTGATCATGATATGATGATAACTCCCCATTGATCACCCCTCAACTTCTTCTATTGCATCCAACCGTCGGCAAATGCGATTAGCCGTAGCAATCACATTTCGTGACGAAGGCGGTTTAGATATGAATGGATTTGGAGGTGCGCTCAAATCTACTTCCCCTTCTAGCATTTGAAGGGCAATTCCCATCGAAGGCCGATCAACGGGATTCCATTGAATGCATGACAACCCTACGATTGCTAGCTTCTTTCCAATTTTAACATCGCTCTCTTCTTCAATGTCAAACCTTAGATCTTCCCCTTGTTCAAGGACATTATAAATCCACTCTGGAAAATTTACTTTATCCTCCGTATTGGGTTCAGTGTCAACAATTTTTCTTCCGCTCACCATTTCTAGCAAGAGCATCCCGAAACTATAAACATCTGATTTGTATGAGACCTTCCCAAAGTTTCTTGAGAACACTTCCGGTGCCATATAGCCTACAGTGCCTCTTGCTGTGGTCATAGACACCAAGCTTTGATCTGTGGAACATAGTTTTGCGAGGCCAAAATCGGTAATTTTGGGATTGAGATTGTGATCAAGAAGTACATTGTGGGGCTTGATGTCTAAATGCAAGATTCTTTCATCGCAACCCCGGTGAAGATACTCAATCCCTTTGGCTATGCCGATTGCAATGCGTTCCAAAGATTTCCATCCCAGAAACTGCTCCTTTGAGTCTGCTGAGGATATAAACCTATGTAGCGAATCATTTGGCAAGTACTCGTACACTATGGCCCGTTGAAACCCCTCTGCACAGAAACCGATCAAGCGAACAACATTGGCGTGGTGGATTCTTGCCAATGTTCCAACTTCGTTAATAAATTCCTCGCCTCTTGCTTTGGAATCATTGAGGACCTTAACAGCCACTATGACTTCATCTGATAGTTTCCCTTTGAAAACAGTTCCATATGCTCCTTTTCCGAGTTCGAACCTGAATTGATTTGTGATCCTCTCGAGATCAGCAAACAAGAATCTTGTGGGCTTCAAAGATTTGTAATCATCTAGAAACTTCTTGACCTTGATTTGATACTTCCTCTCTGCTCTTACAAGCGTATATTTATAACAAACATAAACAAGTATTGCCATAAGAAAGACCGAACCAAAGACTGCACCTGCACATGCACATGCACAAAAAAAACTTCTCATATTCCCTCTGCCCAAGATTGTTTTTTTATTTTTAAGTTTCACGGTCAACTTCCTTAAACTTCGACCACAAATTTGGGAAAAACATAATTTAATATTTTTTGAATTATGATATAAATTTAATACCAATGGATTAATTTCAAAATGTAAATTTAAAAAAAAACATATTTTTATATTATATGCCTATACACAAATAGATATATAAGAGGTTAATGTATTAGTGGAAGAAAAATATAGGACGTGAAAGGTTAAGGTATTCAACGGCTCAAAGCAAAAAACCATGCAACGCAGCGACCACATAGCGACCGTCATAGTGCTAGAGGGGTCACACCTGGTGTGGCACAACGGAGGGGGTGCAACAACCGGTAATCACCTCTAGGTCGCGAGCCATACCACATACATAGTATTCTGACTCTCTTTAACTTATTGTCATTAGAATCAGTTAATATCAGGCCAGATCAGATATAATTTTAAATAAAATTACATTCAGATTAGGTCAAAACTTATTTCAATCAGATCATAATAATTCAAATTAGGTGAAGAGAGCAATGGGAAATACTCTCTCCGTTCTTAAAAGATTGCCACAATTTGACTTTTTTGGTCAAACTGTGGCACCCTTTGACCGCGAATTTTAGAAAAAGTACTAGTAGTTATAATATAAATTTAGTAAAATTAGATCTATTTTAAAATATTAAATTTTTATAATATTTAATTATTTTAAATTATATTTAATTTGTTGTCAAAAGATACCATGTACAAAAAATGGTGGTAATAGACAGTTAGTACATGGGTTGGCAGGCTAACCTGTGATCACTTTCTTCTTTATTCCTTGATTGGGGAAATGATAACATTCTGTTTTGCTGCTCTTGAAATGCCGGTGCTGCTGCTGCAGCACCCTGCAATATTTACCCTGGGATTCGCAGACTGAGCAATTAGGTTCGTTCCAGGTCAAGGAAAACGATCCGGGAATCTCCAGTGGTGTTGTCAAGTCATACATCATGCTACACGATTGTACCCTGGGATCATCAACAGAAGTCCCACCGTAGATGGCAAAAACCTGGTAGCCGCCGCCGCCGGGATCGCTCAGACAAGAGATAAGTTCCAGCGATAGAGACCATTCACGTAAAAGAGCTTCTGTTCGCAATGTGCAATTGATTAATGTGAACTCATCCATCATTCCGTACTGAGATCGGAAAGGAGAATAGGACACATTTGATCTCAACGGGAGGCAGGCTTCATCGGTTACGTCAATAGACTGATAGGCGTAATCGATGAAGCTGACGGAGAGATTGACGGAGTTAGGCAACTCCAGCAGCAGCCTATCGGAGCTGCAGCTCAGATCGAATCCCGGATAGCCACAGGCGGCGGCCGGTTGCCTGTCTACGATCCGGAACGGGAATTTCACTGCGATTCCCCCGCAAATAGTCTCTCTGCAATCACCGTTATTGTTCATCGCCTCGGCCGCCCTGAGAATCATCGTCAATTCGAAAATCCACAAAACCACATTCCCGATCATTGTAATCGGAATCTGTAGAGGTATTTTTTTTTGTTCTCTCAAATTTGTTCATGAGAACCGAAGATCATGGACTCTGACCTAGTCTTCCTTGACTTTGTAGCAAAAACATGGGCCGCCTAGCTTGACTAATTTATTACTCACCTCACCATTTTCCTTCTCATGGAGCAATCGTCATCATCTTGCAGGAGGAGACTGTTGCTTGCTGCTGTCTTCCTGAATTTCCTTCTCATCCCAGCTCGCAGCGGCCGGACTGACTGCGCTCCTTCTACTTGCGGCGAGATCCGCAACATCAGCTCCCCTTTCCGGCTGAACACCGACTCAGATAGCTGCGGAGACGAGAGATATACTCTGTACTGCGAAAACAATGCCACCGTCCTCTATCTCTACTCCGGAAGGTACTTTGTGCGTGCCATCAATTACAACAACTTCACCATCAGAGTCGCAGACGTGGGTGTTCTTGAAGGTGATTGCTCCTCCTTCCCAGTTTTTCCTCTGGGATATTTCAATTTCAGTGGTGGAGATCCTTATGGCACTTACAATTGGAACCGGACAAGTCCATACCTTTTGACAGCAAGTATTGTCTTAGTGAGCTGCCCAACTCCATTGAATTCCTCTTTTGTTGGCACTTCTCCTTGCTTGAACAGCAAAAACTATTCAAACTTGAAGAGGTATTCGTACCTATTGCCTGGTAGCGTAATGACTTTAGGGAATTTGAAGAAACAGTGTACCATAGAGAAGTCAGTTTTGCTTTCTTCAGCCAGAAATTATACGACCTATGAAGATATGCATCGTGGTCTTGTGTATGGGTTTGAACTCTCTTGGTACAGGATCAACTGTGGCCGAAAGTGCCATTCTGATTGCTATTTAGATGATATCACAGGAAGTCCTGCCTGTGAAGGAGGTTCGTTCATCTCAGAATGCTTAATTCAAGCTTTTCCTGTGCATTTTTTTTCTTCTGCTCATTTAACTACTAATGAATGTTCATTTGAATGTGATGTGTGCTAATTTTTCTTTTAAAGAAGGCTTATCCGGATGCACAGTTATCACTAGTATATATCTAGTGAATAATCAGTCCTTACTTTCGATTCGATCTGCATTTCTCTGCCAAATCTGATTTTCTGTTGTTTTATCCAATTTTCATAATAACAGATCATGGCACTTTACTACACATGTGTGAACTCCGTGGCTTTTTTCGATTAAGAAATGGCAATGACGAATGCAGAGTAGTTGGTGCGTATAAGACACATTTTATTTGGCACTTTCGAATTCTCCGGAATTCATCATAATTCGACTGGAATCAATCAACCAAAACATTTGAGTTCAATTCCATTAATTATGCTTGTTATTTAATGATTGGTTATGTTCTTCTCCTAAACAATTTTTGTTTTCTCACTCTCCAATGAAGGTGCTACCCACGCTCTTGACATTATCATCAATTTATGGAAGACATTTAAGGGTAGGGTGTTGATAAGTTATGGATGTCCCAATTTCCTTTTTCATAATGAAGTAAATAAGATCTTATCTTAGTAACTAGTTTCAACTGTTTTTTGCAGGATCATATTTGAGCTTAATCTATCTGATTGGTAAGGACTAATTATCTATATCCTCTAATTTCAAATTTCGATTTATTTTATTTGTTGATGTCTGATGACATGTACAGGCTAAAAATCTATATCCTCTAATTTCAAATTATTTGACATAAGAATCAAACAAATGCAAAAATTTTACAGCAACCCACTTTATTATATGCACTGGTGATTCCATACACAGGTCTTCTTCAAGCAACAAAAACAACGTTAGGGACTCCATTTGTAATTGCATTGTTGATCTACAAATGGAAAAGGAGGCATTTATCGGCTTATGACAAGGTTGAAGAATTCCTACAGAAACATAACAACCTGATGCCAATAAGGTATTCTTACTCGGAGATCAAGAAGATGACAGGCAGCTTTAAAGACACATTAGGAAAAGGAGGCTTTGGGGCAGTGTATAAAGGAAAACTTCGTAGCGGTAAATTTGCAGCTATAAAAATGTTGTTGAATTCAAAAGGTAACGGAGAGGATTTCATCAGCGAAGTTGCAACTATTGGAAGAATTCACCATGTTAACGTGGTGCAACTGATTGGTTTTTGTGTGGAGGGAACCAAGCGTGCTCTCGTCTATGAATTCATGCCAAACGGGTCTCTTGATAAATACGTACTTTCTCAAGAAGGATCAGCATCAACAATGACTTGGGAGAAATTACGCCAGATATCCCTAGGGGTGGCTCGTGGCATCGAGTACTTACATCAAGGTTGCAACATGCAAATACTTCATTTCGATATCAAGCCCCATAACATTCTTCTTGATGAAAATTTCACCCCAAAGGTCTCCGACTTCGGACTTGCAAGATTGTACTCAACAGACAACAACAGGATAGCAACCTTGACTGCAGTTAGAGGAACAATAGGGTACATGGCACCAGAGCTGTTCTATAAGAACATAGGACGGGTATCCCACAAAGCTGACGTTTATAGCTTCGGGATGTTGTTATTAGACATGACAGGGAAGAGGCATAAACCAAATGTACAAACAGAAGATTCAAGCCAGTACTTCCCACAATGGGTTTACAACCAGGTTTGTGATGGAAGAGATGCCGAGATTGGAGGCACCACGGAGGAGGAAAACAGAATAGCTAAGAAGATGGTTATGGTGGGGTTGTGGTGCATTGAGATGAACCCTAATAGCCGGCCTTCCATGAACAAAGTGGTGGACATGCTTGTTGGAGATACAGATAGCCTGCAGTTGCCTCCCAGAGCTGTTACAGAAGCTATAGAAACTCCGGTCAGCGATGGAACAGAGACATCATTTGATTATTGCTCAGATTCTACCAGTTTGATCCAGAGTTTTAACCAAGAACACTTCTCAAGTTAGTCCTAGAACTTGAACTGTGGAAACAATCATATGTTATATATGTCCACTCCAATTTCCAATTTTCAATAAAGAGATTTTTGAATGAATAATATACACAATTATAGTATAGTTTTTGTTTTTATTCCAAGTGTTGTTATATGAATGTTTGCTTGAATTATTATTTGTTATTTAGTATGTCTTTAAAAAGAAAGTAATGTTTCAAGAACTGTTTGTCTCAAAAAAATTGGTTTTAAAATTTCACACTAAAAAAATATCTGTGTAAGCCAAGCGCCAAATGCTTCTTGTTAATAATTCTAGATACCCTTTGGACTTGCTTCAAAAAAAGAAGAAGAAGATACAATTTGAAATATTCCCTCCGTTCCCACATAATTTTTATGGTCTGAGTTCATAGAGTTCAAAAAGAGTATTGAAAAATTAAATGTGTATAGTTATAATTTGTGTAGAAGAAAGTGAACTCATTTGAGTTACATGCTTACACATTTTCTCTTGAGAGAAGATAATGCAAATATGAAATTTGACGAAAAGCGAATGTGTGAAAATATTTTGAGACATCGGATTATGTTCTTAGGATATAAGTAATCATTCATAAATTTTAAAAGCTTGTACCATTCATAATCTGTAAAGGAAGTTTTTTGTTACTTAGAGCATCTAAAAAATGGAAGGTTTAGCATTTACTGTACAAAATTTAGGTCTCCAGCGGGTAGTGTATAAAATAGAAGGGAGTGTATTTTTCCATTCTCGAATGCCAAATATACATGCTAGTGTAGATAGTGGAAATCAAGTTTCGCCTGTTCGCTGCTATCTTAGAGATGATGCTCTTACATAAGCAAACTAAAACCTGCATATTAGTGAGCTGGACGTGGTTGATATTATGATTTCCATTGTTGCTAGATTGTTTGCTCAAAGTAAGCTTGGTTGCTTACCTAGTCAATATTTCCATTTGGAACCACCACATTGCTTTAGAAATTAGAAATGTAAAAAAAGTGGAAAACATAAGAGAAATATCAAAAATTCAAAAGTATATCTCTGAGATATTGGTAATTTAATTCTTTTTAATAAAAAATATTTACAACATCACTTCTGCCACAACTGGATCTTGAATGCACCGAAGATGACCCTTGATCGCTGCCTTGTAAAGACCCTCCGGTCTATAAGAGAATACTACGGAAACCCACGATGTCCACTAGAAAAGCCCACACTCTCAAACTCCATCACACACTGGATACCCATTCCACACCATGACTCATTGCTCATATCATTTTCCTATCTTTTTGCAAATGCAGATCATTATTTTTGAATACAACAACAACAACCCAGTTAAATCCCACAAGAGTAGAGTCTGGGGAGGGTGTGTGTACGCAGACCTTGCCCCTACTTGAAAGTAGAGAGGCTGTTTCCAAAGATACCCCCGGCTCAACATCGAAAGTTGCATTGCTTGACTAACTGCTAATTCATTAATTAAAGAAGCGCAGATAGTTTAGAAATTCATTTTGATTTATTCCATCACACCCAAAGCCAAAAAATGGTGAAATTTTGGCTCCATCGGAGATGATGGAAATGCAGATCATTATTTTTGAATATAAATCACAAATCCAATCAAAATTAGTACATTTTTATTTCATTTACAACCCAACCATAAATGATTATGATAACCCACAAAGTAAGTCCATCGATAAATGCCTCTGGCGCCTCATGTAGTTTGAGAAAGAGGTATTAGTATCCTGTTGTTTTCAAAACTTACCTACAAATTTTTTAGGATTTCAAAAGTTTGCATGTATGCCCCTCCACCAGTGAATTTCTAGCGTTCGTATTTTATGCTTCGGAAGTGTAGTTGAAGTTTTGATAGTGGAGGTGTTGGTGCCCGTTTTCAAAACCACAGGGGACATTAGAACCCAATTTTATTACTCCGCATGTTTTAAAATTTCAGAATTATATAATGTTGAAAATGTGAGGTGCCAATTACCAAAGGGTAAGTTTTTTTTATATTTAATTGGTCAAATAACAAAATTTTCAATCATAATAGTAAAATGAACGGAATGTACATTCGAAGTATACTATCACGGACTTTAAATACCCCTAAACTATACTCTCTCCGTCCCTAAAAGATTGTCACAATTTGAGTTTTTGGTCAAACCTTTTGACCAAAAACTAAATATAATTTAAAATAATTAAATATTATAAAAGTTAGATATTTCAAAACTATATTTCAAAGCAAACCAATTTTACATCTTAACTAAATATACTTTTTTCATAGTTTGTAATCAGGATGCTACAGTTTAACCAAAAAAAATAAACTGTGACAATTTTTTAAGGTGGAATAAACTATTTTAAAACCAAAATAAGAAGTACCCTTTAATAATTTGGAAAAATTATCCAAAATAATCTCATCTTTACTCGGTCTTTCAAAAATAATCCCAACTTTACTGTAATGCATAATAATCCCAACTTTACTCAAATTTGCGAGTTTTGGGTCGCCGTTAAGTTTCTAGCGGAGGGTTAACGTAAATGCCTGTTTTGGGCAACAAAATGAAAGTTGAGATTATTTTTGATGAATTTTCATTTTTTTAAATTTTTTTTAAATTTTTCATTTAAATTTTAAAATTACTCTCTACCTCCATCACCATTTCTTTTTCCATTTTTAAAGATTAGTCTTAGTTTTAAAAAATAAAAATAATAGATATAAAAAAATGAAAAAAATGAGAAATGTAACTAAAATGATACAAAAATAATAAAATAAATAAGGTAATCAATGGAAAATAATTTGAAATTGGTAAAAGTAAAAAATAAAAATATATGGGTGGGTTTTAATATTTTACGCACTATACAAAGTATTAACATATCACTTCTTATTTTTTAGGAAAAAATATCTACAATAATTCCAACTTTACCGGATGGCTTGTTCTTTTAAAAAATAAGTAGTACATTAAGACTCCGTATAATGTGTAAAATGTTAAAACCCACCGCTCCATATATATTTATTTTATTTCTTACCAGTTTCTGTTTAATTTCTATTGATTACATTATTTATTTGATTAATTTTGTATGGTTTTAGTTATTTTTCTCATTTTCATTATTTTTTATATCTTTTTTTTCTAAGGTAAGAATAATCTTTTTTTTAAAAAAAGAAATGGAGGTTGAAAGTAATTCAAAAAATTTATATAAAAATTTCAAAAAAAATTAAAAAACAAGAATTCATCAAAAATAATCACAACTTTCATTTTGTTGCCTAAAACAAGCATATCCGTTAGAAACTTAATGGCGACCCAAAACTAACAAATTTAAATAAAGTTGGGATTATTATATATCACAGTGAAAAGTAGGATTATTTTTTAAAGAACACATAAAGTTAAAATTTTGAGTAATTTTTCCTAATAATTTTGTGTCCACGACCCTCAACTTTATTACAAGATGCTCTCATTTCAAAAAGATTTAAAGGAAGAAAAAGACGGTCCCACCCGATCCGATCCTTCATTTTCTACTGTCCCACATAATTGCCCCCACCTTTCCCCATTTTTTCCCACCAATAATAAAACAAAATCAGTACGTGTAGGAAAATTCGTCCGTTTCAGCGCATTGTGAAACGCTTTGCTCATTCATGATTCCATAAACATAAACGGGCCTCAACCTCCTCCTCCTCCTCTTGTTCTTCTTCACACTCAAACTCAGTCACAGTTGGATCTTGAATGCACTGAAGATGACCATTGATTGCTGCCTTGTAAAGACCCTTCGGTCTATACGAGAATACTACGTAAATCTACCATGCCCACTCGAGAAACCCACACTCTTAAACTCGATCACACACTGGATACCCATTCCACACCATGACTCATTGCTCATATCATTTGCCTAACTTTTTGCAAATGCAGATCATTATTTTTGAATATAAATCACAAATCCAATCAAAATTAGTACATTTTTATTTCATTTACATCCCAGCCATAATGATTATGATAACCCACAAAGTAAGTCCATCGATAAATGCCCTTGGCTCCTCATGTAGTTTGAGAAATAGGCATTAATATTGTTGGGAAAATTAATGATAACTTGGATGAATCGAGAGTTGTGTAAGCACTTTCAGATTGAATATTTTGGTTGTTCACTCCAAAATTCAATCGGATAAAACTCGAAAGTATCAAGAACGAAATATGAGGATTGCTCTGAAAAATCCGAACTAAAATCCGACCAAGGCATGCGGGAATTTATAAACTTGCGGCAGAGGGAGAAGACGCCTATCGCGTCTCTTTCCCAAGTTACGCGATCCTTCGCGCGGAAGTTCTCCAAAAAACGGTGCTATCCAATCGGAGGTTTTCTTTTAAAGAAAATTCGAAAATTAAAATTCCAATTGAATTTTTTAACGTAGAATAAACTATTTTAAAACCAAAATAAGGAGTACCCAATAATAATTTTGTGTCCACGACCCTCAACTTTATTACAAGATGCTCTCATTTCAAAAAGATCTAAAGGAAGAAGAAGACGGTCCCACCCGATCCGATCCTTCATTTTCTACCGTCCCACATAATTGCCCCCACCTTTCCCCATTTTTTCCCACCAATAATAAAACAAAATCAGTACCTGTAGGAAAATTTGTCCGTTTCAGCGCATTGTTAAACGCTTTGCTCATTCATGATTCCATAAACATAAACGGACCTCAACCTCCTCCTCCTCCTCTTGTTCTTCTTCACACTCAAACTCAGTCAATCAGAATTCGATTCCTCTGGCGTTCAATCCTCTCCGAGCTATTTCCGATCTCTGTAAGTCGTCTCCCTCTCTCACTCGTTTCGTGATCGAAATAAGGCGAGTGTAGCTGGAAGCCGTTGCATTTGATATGACTTTATCTATTGAAATGTGATTGGTTTCCTCTCGACCGTCAATGTTGCGATATATTGTTTTTATTGAATTTGAGGATTGGTGTTTTCGTGCTTCATTTGGCCGGATGCTTTGAGTGTGACTCCGTGCTTCTGCGATGATTCGAAATGTGAATTAGTTTTCGTCACTTCTTGTAGTACATGTGAGGAGTGAACAGAACTTTAGGGCTATAGAAGAGGAGTTAACAATAAGGTGAGGTATGTGGCTGCAACTGGCGGGATGAGCTCATGAGCAGCTTTGATGTTTGACTGAAATTTTGGGGCGGATGGTGGATAATCATGCCAAGCATTAGAGTTCCAGCTACCAAGAGAACTACAACTTTAACGGTTCGGTGTTAGGTTTTCTAATTTTTGCATCCCGTTTGATCATATACATTACTTGAATTCTTGTTTCCGTCATTATGTGGATGTAGGTGGCTGTAAAGTGCCGACCATCTACTGAAGGAGAAAGCAATCGTGGTATAATTAGAATCCTCAATGAGAAAGTGCGTCTACCTTCAATTGTTCGTTAACTTTTCCCAAAAAGTTCCTGTTTATTTTTTTTTGGCACGCATTGGGCAATTGTTTTTGGCAGTGCTAATTGCAGGAGGTGCTTGTTTTGGATCCTGACCTATCAAAGGATTACCTGGAACGCTTACGGAATAATACCAAAGAGAGAAGATACTCTTATGATTATGCATTTGGACCTAACTTCAACAATGTGGTATGCTAAAATAGTTCACTAACTGTGTGAGGTTTGCTTTGTCATGTAAATATTGCTCAACAGCATCAAATTGAAGATCCAATATCATTGGTCTCTTCACCTCACTGTCATGTGCTCCTTAATTGCGATAATAAATAAATATTTATCTCTCATTTCCAATGTTGCAAGGATGTGCTATGACGAAAGGCTAGCATCTAGGTAGTCTATGTGGTTCCTATGTATTTTTTCAAAATGAAATTTGACAAAATAATTCAAGTCCTAATAAATATGTGTATACCTCTAAATGGCTAAATTAACCAATAATATTTTTAAAATGTTTGCATGTTTTGTGAAATGAAAATCTATCGATTTTACATAACATAATCAACCAAAACATACCGCATACATCTAGTAATCGTTCTTTACATTCTTCAATTAACAGATGACAGAACTACACGAATAATGATGGACGACTAGCACCTAGGTGGCCACCTAGCCTGTTTTAAGAACATTACTCATTTTTACTGTTTTTACATGAGTTAAGACATTCTTATGCATAAATTAACAGCTTGCAGCTTAACTTTTATGTCAAACCCCAGTCTTTTTGTAGAGGATGAAAAGAATGTTGTGTGGCATAAAGTTATAAAGTCTGGTGTGTGTGCTTGTGCCTGCTCGTTGATACCAGCAGCCAGTAGTGGTTATTATTGTAGTTAATAATTTTTAATCAAAATTCCAGTTTCTGTGTCTCTTTTCCTTATCCATAAAAGGGTTGCCTGGTCGATAGGAGGATCAGTTTCTTATTCATAGTTGATTGACTTCACTGCTCCATTTTCAGGATGTGTACAAGAAAAGTATCCAATCTACAATAGCTGGAGTTATTCAAGGGCTCAATGCAACTGTGTTTGCTTATGGAGCTACTGGAAGGCATGTCATACATTTTAAGCATCTCATTTTACCCCATTCCCCATCTGAGATGACCAGCATGTTTCTGAGATGCTGGTGTTAATTTGTGATTCTTATTTGACTTGTTTTGTGTTTACATATTTCAACTATATGCTTATGAGTATTGTTTTCCTCACAGTGGTAAAACATATACAATGGTTGGGAATAAAGGTGATCCTGGACTTATGGTTCTGAGTCTTAACACAATTTTCGATCTTATTAACAAGGATAACAACTCTGACAAATTCGATGTAACTTGCTCGTACCTAGAAGTGTACAATGAGGTGAGAAGCTTATATATCAATGATGCATGCATGTTATGTAGTTGTAACTAAAATGTATGAAGCCAGTCTTTGGTGGGGGCAGGTTATTTATGATTTACTTGAGAAATCATCAAGTCACTTAGAGCTTAGAGAGAATCTAGGGCAAGGAATAGTGGTTGCTGGTCTAAGATGCATTAAGGTTTGTTATCCTTCTGGCACCTTCAAGATTTGCAATCTCTTGCACATATTTGTTTGAACTTTGAAGTGATTCCATACGACAGCTTTGTAAAGCATCATTGGTCTCAATGGTCTGTGTGGTTCTTGAGGGTCTTTTCTAAGGTTTATGTGCTATCGTGTAAGCACTATATTGTTTCAACAGTGGTATTCCCTAGGCATCTTTTTCTCAAAACTAGGCTTTTTTCTTTGTATTACTGGTTTGTTGCATTTGCAACTTTCCTAAATTTTACTTGTGTAAGAAAGGTTGGAAAAATTATGTTTATGTTCAGTACTTTTATCCAAAAGTTTCTTGTGCGCTTCATCATTCTTAAAATATTGGGTATCCTTGCTAGGTCAAGTAGTTTTAAGCCATCTCTGCACTGCATTTTCTTCATCATTATCAGCATTTTAATAGTGGAAATGTTTTACGTCGGATGCCCTTCATAAAAAGGAATAATGAGATGAATCATATAGTATTTTCACATGGATAATATTATACGACAGTAATAAGATGAGATATCTGTTATTGTCATGTTCTATTCCATTACAAGGTGGATGTTGTAAAACCAATGTGCAAACCATGGAATAAGACCTCTGTTATAGCATGCAATATTTAAATTGTAATACTTTGCACAATGAAATTAAGCTTCCCTTGCTTCTTACTCTAATACTTTCTATGAAATTTATGGTAGTAAACGAAGCAATGCATGCATCAATGGTCTAACATATATAAATTCTTTGTTTTTTAAAGGGATAAAGTTGCTTACATCTTGACTTTAGACCCCTAAAGAGTTGGGATTGTACTGGGTTTCTTGTTGTTGGTGATGCTGTACCCCCCTCCTTAGGTTCTTGAAGTGAAACTTTTTAAATTTGATATCAATAATACCTCTTTTCCATAAGTGGACTATATTTATGCTTTGCCGAATTAACTTTTAGCATCTTTGTATGCCCTTATTAATTTTGTTGCTTTATCTAGGTGAAGTTACCTGATAAAATTCTCGAGCTTTTAAATTTGGGGAACAGTAGGCGAAAAACTGATACCACTGAAGCCAATGAAACTTCTTCACGGTGAGTAGAATAACTATTATTTGCTTTTTGCATTTGAGGTAAAGAAGTGTCACCTCTAGGGGTATTTAGGCAGATGCTTAAAATAGATAAAGTGAATATATTTTCTAATCATAACCATGGAGAATTATAAGTTATTTATAGGACTTAAGTTTTCTTCTAAGTCTTTTGAGTAGAGACAAGGTTTGAGTATCCACATCCTCCCCTTTGTGGGACCCAACAAGGTTTTGTTGTTGTTGTGTGAGTTTTCTTCTAAGTCTTAGTCTCCTTCCTCCAAGATGACATATAAGGATGTCATACCTCTAGATAACAGCTATACGACTATTTTTTCTTACATATTAGCAACTTCACTCCACATTATTTTATCCCCCCCTAAAGCTGGAGCATACAAATCATATGTTCTAATCTTGTTACAATTTTTGTTTTCTCTAGGACCTCAAAGGTATAATGTTGAGTTCTCCTGTGTAGCTCCCCACATTAATCCTTCGTTTGGACAGTTTTATACGGAGTAATAAAAATCACACTCCAGACAAGTTTTGCATGATTTTCCAAAAATAGAGACACTGAAGGCCGTTAGAGTAGTTGAATGGAGTTGGAATAACCTAGAAAAAGACTCTTAGGAAACAGACCTTGGAGGCAGCTCAAGGCAGAAATGTGGGGTAGTGGTTGCAGAGCGTAGAGCGTGGAACCATGGGAACGTACTGAAATGGTGTTGGTCGGTTAGCTGAAGGGAGATGATAACTCCTGTGGTAGCAGCGAAGTTAGGAAGGGTTAGGATTTGTGTTGATCGCAAAAACATGTGAAATTGATTTATTTGTCAGGAACAATGCGTGAGTGCATGTGAAGGGTAGCCAGTGGTGGGTTTCCTGGCCTTGTTATTCATGATGCGGGGGGGGGGNNNGGAGGAGGGTGCTGTGGTGCTCAGATTCTATAAAACACTGCCACAATATTGTGATCGTCGCAAACACTACCACAATAGCCCTAATAGTTCTTTCACTAAATGCAAGGGTCAATCCAGTAGCAATGCTAATCTTACAAGCTATGAGACCAGATCAGTTAACAATACTGCAGAAAGATTTGAACCTACAAATATTGTATCCGCAGCTAAAAAGATAGAAAGGAGTGCTCAGAGTTCAGGCTATCTCTGTGATCAGCCTTCATAAACAATCATTTGATTGAGTTATGTGGTAAAGAAGCTCAAAATATATTTTTGATAAACCAAGAATCATAAACCTTCAAATTGTTGTTAAAACTTCAAATTAATTATTCAAAAATAGTCTATGGATGTTAGAAAACATTTTTATATTGTTAAATTGAAGTTTGATAGCTCAAAATAATACTTAGAAAGTTTGAGCTGAGGTTGAGGGTGAAGTACGGTGCAATTTCCGAACCAGGAACATGGTAACGGTAGCCAACTACTGTGACACAGTAGCATGCTACCGCCACTTGGTTAATTTTTTTTAGAGATATTCAAAAAACAAAAGAACTTTTAGTGGCATTTTTGAAAATATTAGAAATTAGTGGCATTACTGGAAGAAAAAAAGAGAGTGGCACTTTTGACAAAATATAATGCTTAATTGACACTTTTGAATGTTTTTAAGAGTTCAATGACATCTTTTAAAAAAATACTCCGTAAAAGGCAGTGACCTTTTTTGACAAAATGAATAGTTAAGTGACATTCTCTTTAGTGTACCGTGTACAAATTATCAAACGTTGTCTTCTTAATAGTATCAAAGGTTGTCTCCTTAATAAAACTGTACTCCTATTTTAAAATGAAAAAAAAATTCCATGTTTTTTTAGTTTATTTTATTTAAGAATTGGTATAAAATAAAAATTAAAGTATGACTTAGATACATAAAAACTACGTCAAAGTTTTACAAAAGAATAGTTTAAAATAATATTTTATTTTATCAAATAACCAATAAAAATTACAAATAAACATAGGTTATTGTGAATATAAATACAAGGGCATCTATTGTGAGACGAGGGGAGTATTTTATGACATAAAAGTCACATCGTATTTTAAAGATATATTTCTTGCAATTTTTTGATAAATTATGTGTTTACTCAACAAAAAAAACATCCTTGATTGACATATCATTGGTAATATAAATGTAGTATGCTCTAAAAGCTCTCTCTTTTATTGTTTGTATTATTTAAAATAAAAGATGTAATAATATTTATAATTGTATGAGCATACATATGTGCACCCTTGATCACTCAACTTCCTCTATAGCTTCCAACCGTTGACGAATGTGATTAGCTATTGCACTCGTGTTTCTTGTGGAAGGCGCTTTAGCTATGAATGGATTCAGAGGTGCGCTCAAATCATCTCCTTCCCCTTCCAACATTTGAAGGGCAATTCCCATTGATGGCCGGTGAACGGGATTCCATTGGATGCACGACAACCCAACGATAGCTAGCTTCTTTCCAACTTTTACATCGATCTCTTCTTCAATGTCAAACCTTAGATCTTCCCCTTGGTCAAGGACATTATAAATCCACTCTGGGAAATTTACTTGATCCTCTATGTTGGATTCAGTGTCAACAATTTTCCTTCCACTCACCATTTCTAGTAACAACATCCCGAAACTATAAACGTCCGATTTGTATGAAACTTTCCCGAAGTTTCTTGAGAACACTTCGGGTGCCATATAACCTATGGTGCCTCTCGCCGTGGTCATAGACACCAAGCTTTGATCCGTGGAACAAAGCTTGGCGAGGCCAAAATCAGTGATTTTGGGATTGAGATTGTGGTCAAGAAGTACATTATGGGGCTTGATGTCAAAATGCAATATTCTTTCATCGCAACCCCGATGAAGATACTCAATACCTTTGGCTATGCCAATTGCAATGCGTTCTAAAGATTTCCAACCCAAAATGTGATTCTTCGAGTCTGCTGAGGAAATGAACCTCTGCAGCGAATCATTTGACAAGTACTCGTACACTATAGCCCGTTTAAACCCCTCCGCACAGAAACCGATCAAGCGAACAATATTGGCGTGGTGGATTTTTGCCAATGTTCCAACTTCATTAATAAATTCCTCCCCTTTTGCTTTGGAATCATTGAGGACCTTAACAGCCACTATGACATCATCTGATAGCTTCCCTTTGAAAACAGTTCCATATCCTCCATTTCCGAGTTCGAACCGAAATTGATTCGTCATCCTCTCGAGATCAGCAAACAAGAATCTTGTGGGCTTCAAAGCTTTGTAATCATCTAGAAACTTCTTGACCTTGATTTGATACTTTCTCTCTGCTCTTACAAGCGTATACTTATAACAGACAACAACAAGTGCTGCTATAAGAAAGACCGAACCTAAGACTGCACCTGCACATCAGCACATGCACAAAAAATCCCTTGCCATGTTATCATTTGGGGAATGTGATTTTGTTAATGTAGGAATTGAGTCGGAAGGCTAACCTGCAATTACTTTCTTTTTAATAGAGCCTGCAAAACAGAAACAAATAATACAGAGTAGTTATTCCCCTAGTTAATAACCTAAACCTTCACTTTATTGTTCAACTATGCCCAGGGTCTATTAGCATGTACACTAAAGACAATTTTCACTTACAACGCTTATGAGTATCAGAGTATGGACAGTTTTCACTAACAACACGTGAAGGTTTGACACATTCACCAACATCACTTGTGAAAAATGCACGCCCCGAAAAGTGTTGTAGGTGAACATTTTTTGATAGACACCATGGTGTACAAATGGAATGTTTCTTTTTTATAGTCATTAACCCTTAACTATTCAGGGCTGAATAGCTGCAAATTTTCCAATCTTCTTAATTGTTACAAGTCTTTCTGTATGTTGTAAAACATGAAATTGTGTGATTAATTTTATGAAGAAAATAGAGAAATATTCGAACACAAAATCTTTTCTTACAAAGTAGGATGAAGTGGTGAACACCTGTCCAAAACCCCGAATTCAAAAAATTGGAATGTGATAGAGGGTAGGACCGAAAACTAGACCTGAAAAAATCTACTTCGGGCCGATTCAGAACTGTTTTTTCCAGTTGAGTTCAGTTTTAGAGCGGCTAGTTTTTAACTTTGCAATGCTGGGTAACAATCTTATGAATAATTCAATCCTTTATCCAAATGAATTGAAATAAATGGGGATGAACAAGATACTTGAGGAAATCATAACATTCAGTTCTGGTGGGTAGGGAAACCACACATTACATTACATTACATACACACATACCTTGAGTTGGCAGATCATAACATTCAGTTTGGTTGGTTTTTTGCTGCACCAGCTTGCAATATTTACCTTCCTCTTCGCAAAATCTACATACAGGCCCGGACCAGTTCATTTTAAAGGGGTTTGTAAGAGCACTTTCTGGAACTGTGATGTCATACATCTTGGTACATGACTGTAAAAAATCATAAAAACCACGAACACTAGTCAGACTGTATAAGGCAAATACTTGGTAGCCGCCCCCGGGATCGCTCAGAAAAGGAATCAGTAGCGGCCATGGCGGCTCTTCTGTTCGCACTGTGCAATTGAGTAATGTATACTCATCCTTCCCGTCCACAAATTGGAAAGGAGAAGAGGACACATTTAATTTCCTAAACATCGTCGCAGGGCAGCCCCAAGGAGCTACAGTAATAGACTGAGAGGCGTAATCGATGGCTCTGACGGAGAGATTGACGGAGTTGGGCAACTGCAGCAGCAGGGTTTTGGAGGCGCAGATCAGATCGAAACCAGGGTATCCGCAGGCCGCCGGCTGCCTCTCTTTGATCCGGAACGGGAACTTCACGGCTGGGCCGTGCCGCCCGCACCTCGTCTCCCGGCATTCATTCTGGTCTACTAACGCCCCAGCCGCCGCCGCCGCCGCCGCCGCCGTGAAGAACAGTATGAAGAAGCAGAAGACGAGAATGCGATTCCTGGTGGCAGGCATTTTGCCCGGGTAGTAGACTAATAGTATCCTCATGTGTTAAAATGGGGAAAAAAGAATATTCAAAACTCCACATACCCTAACCTTGAGCTTCTCGGTTTGTTCATGAGCTCTGACTGACTGGGGTGGGTGGGTGTTGACTGTTGACGTTATGTGACGAGTGAGAGCGCGGGACTATTTCCTCGTGGTATAGAGTTTCAAGAGCTGAAGAGGTCCTTCTTCTACTTCTCATGGAGCAATCATCATCATCATCATCATCTCACAGGAGGGGACTGTTGATCGCAGCCGTGCTCGTGAATTCGCTTCTCTTCCCAGCTTGCGGCGGCGGCTGCGCTCCGTCTTCCTGCGGCGAGATCCGCAACATCAGCTTCCCTTTCCGGCTGGACACCGACCCAGAAGACTGCGGAGACGATAGATACACCCTGTACTGCGACAGCAACGCCACCGTGCTCCGTCTCTACTCCGGGAGGTACTATGTGCGCGCCATCAATTACAGCAACTTCACCATCAGAGTCGCAGATGTCGGTGTTCGTGACGGAGATTGCTCCTCCTTCCCCATTTTTCCTCTGACACGAAACAATTTCAGCGGCGGAGATCCTTACGGCCTTTACCATTGGAACCAGACAAGAGATTCCTCCTTCTCAAAGAGTATGGTCTTAGTGAGCTGCCCAACTCCACTGGGTTCTTCCTTTGTTGACTCTTCTCCTTGCTTGAACTCCGAAAACTATTCAACCTTGAACAAGTATTCGTACCTAGTTGATGGAGACCGAACTACTTTTGGGGATTTGAAGGAGCAGTGTACCATAGAGAAGTCAGTTTTGATTCCTCCAACCACGAATTATACGTCCTACGAAGAGATGCACCGAGGTCTTGTGTCTGGGTTTGAACTCACTTGGTACATGATCAACTGCGACCGAAAGTGCCATACTTTTTGCTATTTATACGATGCCAGGGGCAGTCCCGTATGTTCTGGAAGTATATACGTTCATACCTAGAAACTCATATGCCTGCCTCTATGTTTGGTTCCATTTACATTTCCTTGTTTAATCTTCTGATTCTTCATAATTACAGGTCCCCCTTCAGTATATATGTGTGAACTCCACGGCTTCTTCCATTTGGGAGATGATGACTATCAATGCAGACGAGTTGGTGTGTACCAGGAATTTTGGTTTGACACTTTCGAATTCTCCAGCTTTCATCCTAGGAATTATATAAAGGATGATAGGAATTGTTGAGATATTGTTTAAACTAATTAAAATGAAGAAAAAAAAGTGTCAAAGGTGATGCGGCAAGATTGAGGCAGTGTGTGTGTGTGTGTGTGTGTACCTACTCTTGTTTCAGTTATTTATGGTTCTGCTCCTAAACACACTTTGTTTTTTCACTCCCCAATGAAGGTGATACCCACGTTTTTGGCATAATTATTGAAATATTGAAGACATTGAAGGGTAGGGCATGGATATTCCCGTTATATCAGTTTCCTTTCTCTTACTGAAGTAAATAGGACCTTATTAACTAGTTTCAACGTTTTTTGCAGGATCATATTTGAGCATAATCTATGTGATTGGTAAGGACTAGTTGTCTGTATCATCTAATTTCGAATTGGGAAATTTATTTTATTTGTTGATGACATGTACATGCATGCCATTATGCCAAATGTATCAATGAATAATACCATGCAATTGTTTGACATAAGAATCAAATAAATTCCAAATCTGCAACGTAGCAGACTACTTCATTAAACATACTGGAGATTTCATTTACAGGTCTTCTTCAAGCAACAAAAACAACATTAGGGACTCCATTAGTAATTGCATTGTTGATCTACAAATGGAGAAGGAGACATTTATCGGCTTATGACAAAGTTGAAGAATTCCTACAGAAACACAACAACCTTATGCCAATAAGGTATTCTTACTCGGAGATCAAGAAGATGACTGGAGGCTTTAAAGACACATTAGGAAAAGGAGGCTTTGGGGCAGTGTATAAAGGAAAGCTTC